TTGTTATAGAATTATAGATAATTGTGACGTCATTCTTGAAGTACTTAACGCATTTCAAAACTGTTTATTTTCCTCACTTTTCCTTAATTTTTTACGATTATAACAGATAAAAGATGTAATGAAAAGTAAAGATATAATGAAAGATAATTATATATTTTTTAACATTTTTTAATAGACTGAAAACAATGAGCGTAGTTTTATATTATACTAATTTGCATAGTATTTAGTGTATACATTAATATTTTTATAGAATGTTAGATGAAAAATATACCATTTTATTCTAGCCACGTATACAATAATACAATTGTCATATCTATATTCTCAAGATGCGGCGAGTACCACTTTGGAATTCTTGGCAAGACACACATGAGACCACCATAGAGAATACAATGTAAAATTGTCAAGATATATCGGTGACCGAATATGTTATCTAAACATTTAATTTTATATTGCATGTATGAAGCTATTTGAAATGTATATTTCAATTTATTAATAATTTTATCAATGAAACTTGACGATATGAATTTTACCTAAAAATAAAAATAATTTTAAAATCTCAGGTTGCATGCTGAATTGTATAACCGATTTTCAGTGAAATGTATTTTAAGCGTCAGTATCAAATGTCAAATTATATTCGTGTGAAAAAAAAAATTTTTTTAATTTATTCTGCACATAAAAGAAAGATCTATGTTTGCTATTTTTTTGAGACATTTGATAAAGGATTTTCAACAACAACAGTCTCATGTATTTTGTCCAAAATCCACAGGGAATCTGTGTTACAATTCGATGCCACGATCCTTCGGCGTGTTATCACCTTTCCGGGAAATTTGTTGAAATTTGTTTATGTCTATTGCCTAGTCCTATGGGACTGATAATTTATTTATCAATCACGTGCTGCGAGGGCTGACATTCTCGTAACTGGGGAAAACCGGTGCATCGAATGTGTCTATTTAACAAGCGAGTGTGCGATCTATTTAATATCTACAATATAAATATTTAATATTTATAATATAAATAAATTTGCATATTTCGTGCAGTGACAACTGCATAAAGTATGAATATTTTACGAAGAAAGCATTAGTTTGATTGACAATTATCGCAACACGATTTCTCTAAATTTTCTAAATTTTTTTAAAATTTTTATAATTAAAATTAAGTTTTTTAAGGTTCATAACGTAAGCGAAAAAAATCTGTGATTTATTCTGAACAAAAGCCTATCCAATGTAACTCAGGAAAAGTGTTCTGTGATTCTGTGTCGGAATTAAATTGAAAGATTTTAATATTCGCATATTGTCACATAAATTTCTCTATCATATCTGCAAAGTAATTTCGTTGACTATTAATATGGTTTTATTACGCTTTTGAAAATACTTTCGAAAATTTAACTGCGACTGTTCGTCATATTCTTTACAATTCTTGATCTAATTTCATTGCGCTATAGAATTATAGGATTCCGATAGCTGTTCCGACATCTGGTTGTGCATTCACGATGCGATCATACGTCATTATACTAATTATAGGTACTCATTTTTATCTCTCTTTGTCGCGTCTCTTCATTGTTGCATTTTAATAGCGCGTACCGCGATTTCCATTTTTAATATATAAACGTGCGATTGGCTTCAAAATTACACAGTAAATCAATATTGTATACTACAGTTTTTTTGCACTGTGATTTAAATAATTTAGTATCGCTTGTAATTTTTATATGAACAATGAATAAAGGAGGAATAAGTTTTGGCACACAGTTCAAGTGCTTTATTTTAAAAGAAAGATAAATCAATTGCACGCACGCTTCTAGGAAATGCAATGATAATAAATGGCCAACTCTCGTCAATGTATATAATTATTGCGACATGTAAAATATCCGACGCAATAATTTTTCAAGTACACATCGTGATCGATGACAAAAGACAAGAGTAAACAAAAAACTTTTTCCGAAGCAACAAATAAAAATGACTTTTAAAAACGTAAATTTTTTTCGAAAATTTCATTTCCTTAAAAATTTTATATCATTTATCCAAGTCGCAAGTAATACTCCACTGGTTATTATTTATATATAATAAAATGTGACTTGCATATTAATATTTTAAAATTTCGCATCGCAGATTATAGTGGCGGAAAGTCATGCTGATACTGCGAGAATATTTTCATGTGACACTATACATATTTATTATACGTTATGCAACGGCATGCACTTATATTTTTTTTGATTCTATACGATTATGTTTCAATGCAGAAATGTGCTTACCTGTAAGCAAGCAATTGCTCACAAAGAAACAAATACGAAAGATAAAGCGTCTGCTACTTTTATATTGTCACACGCTCGACGCACGTCGTTTAAGAGTAGAATTTCAAATGAAAAACATATGACTCGCACTGCAAGCGATATTTCGCTCTTGGGGAAATGACTAATTCACAAAGGTTCCGCTAAATCAGTCTTTGATCTTACACAGCTCATGAAACTTGAGCATTTTGCTGGATGGTTTTCAGGATAATAAATTGCATAAATTTCCCAACGAAAATTTGATATATAACGCAGATTATCTTTTCATACTTTTAAAATTAAAAAAAAGATTTAATTAAAAAATAATAATCTATAAAAATATCTAAAAATCTTTCAATTTATATATCTTTGCTTAAAAGTTTAAAAAAAAAAATAAAATTTTAGAAAATAAATTTATTTAAAAGAAATAATTATAATATAATGCAATGTTAAAAAAAAAACTTTCTAGAATAACATAGAAGTTGTTTAAGAAAAGCGAAATCTGAATGTTCTTAATTATCCCTTAATTATCCTTAATCTTATCGCGCTGCATCATTACAGCGCGGAATAGATTTACTTTTTCAGTGTCTTATTTCTCTTCATATTCCAGTTGTATTAATTAGATCGATCGAATTTTTTTCTTTTATTGAAACTTAATGCAACTTAATGTCGATACACTGTAATAATAATGTCAGAAGTAAGCCGTAATATCGGACAAGTCGTCGGTCTGTCAGTCGTATGAATTTACAACTTGTTGACTACATGTTAGTATATCGAAAACTGATTATATTCTTTCTATGTTGTTTGTCCAATAGCTAAATTGACGTATTAGAAATTTTCTAAAAAATAAATAACTTAATCTTGTCAAGATTAATAACTCGGAAAACATGACATTTTAAGATGGCTTAAAGACATCATAATGTTGTATGAAAACATCTTTGAGATTTTTTTTTTTAGAGTACAAGTACATTTTTTTTTTTAGAGTACAAGTACAAGTACATTCTTAGGGAACGATAGTTAATGAAAATAATATACAACGCGATAATACTGTTGAAACAGTATTGAATATTTATTAATATACGTCATTGAATACAGATAAATGCACGTCGCATTAATAATGTTTTATCGCAATTTATAGTGACTTAAAATTTATCTCTTTAAAATAGCTAACTCACAACTCGTCCAATGTCCAACGATTAATTGGTGATCATTGCTTTGTAAAGTTGGTTCTTAAATTAATTCTTAATTGCGTTACAAATGAATTTGACGATCATAATAATAGGAAAGAAAAGATTCTAGTATACATAAACTTGATTTTTTTTTTGTAAATGCACTTCCCACCGTGAGAGGCACATAATTAGACATTGGAGAAAAAAAAGAGGGATGCAGATAGCTGCAAAAGATATCTACTAAAACGTCTTTGTTTTTCTTTCGCGACAGTTGACGAGTTGACGAGCAGAGAAGAGCGTTGATATAATCGTAGTCGTGTCAAAATGAGATCAAGGCCCGTTCAAACATTATTTATATTTCTTTTCCTCTCGTTTTCCCCGTGAATCACGCGTTGACATCATCAATGGTTATCATCGGATGGCCTTTTCAGCATACAGACAGTGCAAATATGCTACTGTATGTTCTATTAGCGATTATCAACTGCGTCGAATGTCGTATTAATTAGATGTTATAAGTTTCTCCCTTGTTATCACGAGTTGGTCGTAAATGCATACCTCACTAATTTACGATATAAATCACGCTTTCCTCCAAACTACAGATATTAATGCTAATTACATATCCCGTATTTAATTAACATGCTTTTATTAATAGTGTCGCTATTTATTAACTTTCCTTCTCTATCCATTTGTTTCTCATCTCTCGCCATCTGCGGCTACGTTTAGAATTACGAAATATTTCTGCTTCTCTATATTTTCATAAATAAACGTTCTTTTTACAGTTCTCCTCCAGTTGAATAAGTCTTTCGAATGAGACGATTACGCTATATTTATTTTAATCACGATAAAAAAGCTAAACTAATTTAATTCACATGAACATGACGAACCAGAGTATTATATATAAGAAGTTTTGAGAAAAAAAATTCTAAATCTTTTGCGATTTATATATAAGATGAATGTGCATAGAAAATATCAGAAGCAGTCAAGTTTGGTATCGAGCGCAAGTTCCGTGACCGCAAAGGAATATAATCATAGTTCATTTTGCCGCATGAACTTTCTTATCTTCGTCTACCACACGCGTCTGCAATGATACGTAAACGATTGATCGTGCGAACGATTTATAGACTCCTATTATATCGACTACATTTTCACCATACATTTCATCATACATTTTACAATTTTTCTTAATTTTTTTTTTTTTATCGATTTTACACAATAATAGCTGCATTTCCAAATATAAAATCAGCAAGATCGATAAGAGGGAATTTACACTCTTTATCTACCACAAAAGACATACATTCAAAATTATACGGGATATCATAATTGCCCTCTTTATAATTATCTTACACGATTAATGAAAAATTGTACTCATGTCATTTGAACGTTCTTGTATTTTCTAATTTAAAAATATGAGCTTCTGTAAACGAATCAAATGCAAAGAAAATGTCAAACATTTGTTTTAATCAAATTTTGTTGAAATTGATTAATAAAATTTGTCTTATCCTAAATATTCCATTTCAATTCGCACGAAATGAACACTTGAATAATTGTATTCTTTTTTTTTGTTATAGAAAATGGTGGCACTTTGAAGATTCTTTTGAGCTTTGCCGTAGGCGCATTGTTGGGCGATGTCTTTCTACATCTTCTGCCAGAAGCATTCGAGAGTGAATTTCAGACAAGAGGTAATCTCATTATTATTATTATTATTATTATTATATTCTTATTTTTCATATTTTTATTGTATGCAACGATGTAATTGAAGAAATTCATCTTATCTTGTAGGAAAATTTTAACATATCATATATCAAAAGATATAATATATCATGTCACATTTATTGTTGATAGAAGATTGACCTTATAAAAAAAATTGATGACAACAGCACAGTTGAATATAATTATTGTATGCAGAATAATAGGTAGAAATAAATTTCTATCAATTCTATTATGCATATAATGTTTACACTGACTTATGTAAATTATTCATAAATTAAAAAATGGAATGATATTTGACAATCGTGTAAAACTAGCAAATATTAACGAGAATCGAATAGCCTAGACTGTATATGTTAGAACAAATCTAACATAACAGCGCCACAATGCTTCTGGAATCGCGAAATCTGATACAGCGGGAATATGTGCTTTCGATATTCCTGAATTGTTCTATGTGCATTCTATTGCATATTACATATGTATTTTGAATACGTTCGAACGTTTTGCAACGTTCTACACGGCTCAGTGAGAAGGGCACCGCCGAGAGCTTTATGAACGATTTAAGCGGCGACTTCGAACTCTATTGTGCGTCAGTTGCAGATTTGAATTGCCAGCTGCGTCCACGTAAATTAAATGTCCCTCCGACCGCGAACCGCGTTAGGAATTCGAAGTGATCGGTGAGCTAGTAATATCCGTGTAAATTGTATCCGGTTTTGAATTGCAGATTTTCTTAGCTTTCGTTTTACATTTTTCGCCTTTGTTGCCCTTCCCAGCGAAAAGAATACTGTGCAATAAGTTAAGCAATTTAAATAACAATGAATATTAATGAATAAATAAATAAAGCAAAATAGTTTGCACATCTATGACTGTTTTCATTTATTGTTGTATCGTTGTAAATGATATATCATGTGAAATTTATAAATTGCAACGCTTGATTTATTCGTGCGAATGTTTTATTTTATTTCATCTTTATCACTGTAT